GAAAAAATGAACTACTTGAAGTTTTTATCAAGTTATATCTAAACATTTAAGAAAAACTGCCTACGTACCCTTGCAAAGGGATCAAGCCACGTAGTTCAGTTGCGAAGTGTTTAGACAGAAGAAATCTAGAAAATTCTCTCTAGATCTCGGATTTTTAGGTGGTTGCTTTAGATGAGGATTTTCTCCCGTTTTTCTCGTGATCTTCAATTTATGAGGAGCTCTCTATTTATAAGAAGTCCAAGTCGGTTTCTTTGACCTCGTTTCCCTTTTTTATTTAGGAATATTTCTCCTTTTCCGTTTTGGAAAAGTTATTTTTTTCCTTATTCTTCGGAGATTTCACCATTATCCTCAAGTATATCCTTTTTACTTGAGGAGGTTAATCTGACGGACTTCGGCTTGATGGGCTATCATTGTCAATCCGTAGCACTCGTTTGTTATAGTATCATTGTAGAAGTTGGTGCTCTAATGCTTGCTTCGAGCATATTACTTATGCTTCAAATAAAGCGATGCTTCAATCTCATACCGAGATCATGTCGGATATTTCAGAATCTTGATGTAAATTTTCACATCGGAAAATTAAATCACGTCGGGATGACTTGGAACTCAGCTTTATAAGAGTTATGGAACTCATTTTTCCTTGCTATGTGCGAGGTTTACGATGCTCGCGCGATGGAGGCTTATTTCTGCTAGGCTTATTTTCTTGGTGGATTGCGAGCTGATAGAGCTTAAGCTAGAGACAGTTGAATGGCGAGCTCTGATGAGCTGTGTTTTGAAACTTCTTTTGCGAGTTATGTTCCTTGACACTGATTCGCCTTTAGATGCTGTGATGACGAGCTCACAGAGTTTGGTGTTGACGTTCTTCTGGTTGAAATTTTTAATATATTCCAAACGCAAAGCTATGCGTTTAATGCTGCCACTTTCTTGTGAATATGTTCTTAATAAACTGATTTTCAAAGCTTAAGAGCTCGTTCTTCTTGGAGGTTTTCTTGAGGTTGGGTTGTTGATGATTTGCTCAATCTTCTCGTGAATGTGAGCTATTCTTTCTTCTTCTTTTGAGATTCCAAGCTTTAAAGCTTGTTTTTGTTGGAGGGTGGTCTAGAGAGTTTGTTTATGAACTCGCGTTTGAGCTAAACGCGGGCTGGAGAAGCTGTAATGCTAAGCGTCATGGCAGAGTTGGAGATCGATAATCGTGGTAGAATGCACACGAGCCTCCCATGTTTGTTTGAAGAAGATGCATTGAAATTGGTTTTCTGAAAAACTCAAATTGCAGTGATTTTGCTTCAACTTGCGAGCTAATTTTCGGATCGCGTATACCTTAGAATATGTAACGGAAAGAAGATCGGAATAGCTGATAGCAAGAGCTTTCCAACCGTATGTAAATCGTTTTCTGGATCCTTCTGAGTCGTCTGGAAATTTCCCCTAAAAACTCTCTCAAAATCTCTTCTCTCGGGTTAAAATTGCAGGTTTTTGTGATTTTTTACGAACTTGTGAAGCATTTTTTGGATGGAGTTTAACTCCGATTGATATGACGTAAGTTCCTGTAGATTCTATGCAAAGAGATCTATCCATAGGAACCTCGGACGCAATCTGAATCTTCTTGGTTGTTCGGGAATTTGCCTCGAAATATTAGTACCTGCACTGTTTTTCTGGGTTGCAGGTTGCAGGTTTCAGGTTTTCTGAGATTTCTTGTCAGAGAAGCAAAGTCTGCAAGCGGCTTTTCTGCCATAGTTAGGGTTCCGTCTTGATCTTTTTGGACTCATGGGTTGACAATATTGCTGGTGGTAACTTCTATGCACCCAGCCGGTGTTTACTCTGCTTTCGACCAGTTTTCGAAGTAGACACTTCTGCACTGTTCTTCTTTTCTTTTTTTTAGAGAGAGATCGTAGAAATCTATGGTGGTCCTTGTTGGTTGAGAATTGGAGCGTGATCTTAGCGCGGTGCTACGATGTGCTTATATCTACATTTAATCGAGGAAGTGATCAGCTACGTTACTTCTAAAGGATATTCATCTTCACTCCGTTGCAGGACCATCTCGGTTTTCAGGGATTTGATTTTGAATCCTGGATAGTTGCTGAATCTATTGTTGTTAGATCCATAATTTGCGCCTATAACTTCATAGTTCTTGTGAGAATTATTTGCAGTTTCCCGATCAGCTTGGGGGTGTATTCTCCATCGTGAAACAAGTAATGATGCAAAGCGTTCTTGGAGCATATAATATTGACGTGATTCTTTGATGAATTGTTGACCTTGACTTAGTGGGTTGTGATCCGATTCTTCTATGTCGGAGATAGTTGAATGAAACGTGATTCTCATCGCAGCATGTGATTTTAATCAGGTCGAAATTTCTGAGAGATTGAACGTGAGCTAGCTTGGTAGTACTAGCCCCCTCCTTTTTTTTACGTCAGGAGAGAAGATGCATTATCCAATGATATCATGAGACAGTGATGTGGGATAAGCTCGTATGAGACGTCTTGAAAGACTTTGTTTGATGGCTAAGTAATAGCACATGAATTTAAATCACGTTGGAATCTTTGATGAGCCGAGCTGACTTCCTTTTTTTTTTTTTTTTTTTCTAGCTGAGAAGAGGGACGGCGTTTATCGTCTCATGTCGGTTTTGATTTCTTCGTTCTGATGCAGAATTGTTGAGCTCTGTTTTTTTTAAGAGCTTGGCTTCTGGCTTCTCCGATTTTTTCGTCTTTACCGTGTTAATGATTTGTAGACCATTCCTTCCTTCTTTTGGGAGCTTGATTTGTTTGTCTTTGGTAAGCAGCCAAAGTGATCTCTTCAGGATTGCCTCCCTTCTGCTTTGATTAGAATTTTGCTCGTTATTTTTTTATTTGCGAACAAAGCATGGATGGGGGTGTCGATGAACGTCGGCAAGTCAGCATCTATTCAATCTCGATAGAGACAAAGGGATGAATTAATTCAATACTCACGCTATTTGAGATCACCCACTATGACGATAAATAATGAAGCAATATTGGAGTTTGAAGACAAATAACCAAGTATGGATATGTGAGGTGTAGCAGCCTCCGGTTAAACATAATCACATTATTTAATGTGATTATGTTATGATTATGCATATTAATTAAATACAAAAGTATGTAGCACTTATCTTAACTTTTTGGCGTGATGCATGAAGGTGAAGACATCGTTTGAGATGTGATGACCAAGTTGCCGGGGTGGCTAGGCTTCAGAGTTGACGTTCTCTTTATTCGATAATTCTCCATGTCCCACGGTGAGCGCCAATTGTTGAACCAGAAAATCACCAATAGGTTTAAGTGATTTACAGTTTGGGTTTTGGAGAATATCAAATTGGAGCTCGGAGATTAGGTCATTGAAAAGATGAACTGCTTGAAGTTTTTATCAAGTTATAGCTGGACCTTTAAGAAAGGCTGCCTACGTACCCTTGCAAAGGGATCAAGCCATTCGTAATTCGGTTGCGAAGTGTTTAGAAAGAAGAAATCTAGAAAATTCTCTCTAGATCTCGGATTTTTAGGTGGTTGCTTTAGATGGGGTTTTTCTCCCGTTTTTCTCATGATCTTCAACTTACGAGGAGCTTTCTATTTATAAAAAGTCCAGGTCGGTTTCTTTGACCTCGTTTCCCTTTTTTATTTAGGAATATTTATCTTTTTCCATTTAGGAAAACTTGTTCTTTTCCTTATTCTTTGGAGATTTCACCATTATCCTCAAGTATATTCTTTTATTTGAGGAGGTTAATCTGATGGACTTCAGCTTGATGGGCTATCATTAATGGGGAAAAGCCTTTTTAGTAAATGTGTTCATTTCTCTTCTAACAGTGGGGAATGTGGAAAGAGGAAGAGAAGATGATGCGAAAAACATGAATGGAAGAAGGTTTTAGTTTCCATGGCCATTCAGTGGTTTGTTCTCTTCTTCTTCTTCGTTTTCGTCTTCTTCATCCTCTGGATCTTAATCTGGTGAGAACAATTCCTACTCAAGAACTTCTGGCTCTTCTCGCTGATTAAAGAATCAGAGAACAAAACATCCAGAAACTAAAAACATCTTGGTTTTGTTCTTGTTCTTTCTTTTGTTGTTCTGTCAATTTTTTCATTTTTAGCTCTTGAATTTGTTTTGTTCTCTGTATTTCATTCTCAGCTTTTAATGTACATAAAAAAATGTTTTTTCACTCAGATTGTTCAATTAAGATAAATCCATGGAGTCTGATGGTATTATTGTTTCAAACTTCTTTCATTGTTGCTGTTATCAAATTCGGTTTGTTTGTCTCCATCGTTTCATTTTTTTTTATAATTGTGTATTTTTAATATAAAGTATGTCATTCGGTGTCCAAATAATGATGAAAATGCTACAAAATAGAGAGATTCATTACATTTTTGTCGGAATGATTTTTATATGGGCGATGGTTATTCAATCTTTCATGTTCTAAGACTTTTCACAGAGATGATCAAATTTTGTTTCCAACACAGCTCCTTCTCTTTCCCGTACTGTGTCGCAAACTTAATAGCCTTTTCTGTCGATTCATCGTGCGAGGCTCTTGCAGACCCTGCGTAGAGTACAAGAATCAGGCCACGGAAGATGTGGCTGTGCCTTGCGGGTGATTCTTTGCTGCAAGACCAGTCGAAGAAGTCGGTTTTGCTTAGGGACAACGACAAATAAAATAGGCATTCCTGGTCTGTACTTAGCCACAAGCCTCGCCGTGCTTCCTCCTCTGGTTAGGACCATGATGAGTGTGGCTCTAGCTGAGTTAGTGGTTCTCACTGCAGAGGACGCGAGTGACTCGAGCGGGCTCATTGAAACAGGCGAGTACTGCATAATCCTCTTGAAGACATCTCCGTAGTCGAGTGTGCTCTCGGCTTCAACGCATATCAAAGAGTAGTACATATGAAAGCACACACCAAACTTACTGGTTATTCCACTAAAACGAACTATAAGGCCTTCATATAGCTAGGCCACGCTTCAACAAATTTTGTGTAACGACTCGGGTTTGGAAAAATGGGCCAATTTTGTATTTTCTCATGAAGGCCCATTAAACCCATCTCCTCCTTCCTTTGTCACGATTGTAAACCCTCGGAAGAAAATGAGAGAGGGGGAGCGACGATGTGAAGCCGCCGTCTCTGTCTCCGTTCGTTTACTCTGCCGCTACCATTCACCACCACCGGCGATATGCTGCTCCTAGTCACTGTCGTTGTTCATAAGTCTCATTGTTGGTAAGCGATCCATATCTCTTCATCATCCTCACCATTTGGTTTTTCTCCCGAGAATGATCATGCTTTGAAAATCACCATTGTTGTAGTTGCTTAAGCTCCAAGCTTCGCCCTCTCCATCTAGTTTTGTTGCTGGTGTTGCTACATCATCGTGCGGGAATTATTGATGTGGTAAGAGATCTGATTTGTCCTTCACCACTTTGTTGCATATATTTTCCCCGTGAGTTGCTGAATATTGATCCGCCACTGTTGTTGCACCTTCAGCCATAAGCTTCCTCCTTTCCCACGTTGAGCTTTGTTGCATTGATGAGGTCATCGTCATCATCCGTGGTGAGAAAGAGTTATGTTTCCCCTCACGTCATGATCTCCGAGAGTAAGATTTTGAATGGAATATTCAATTGTTGCTTCAGGCCCAAGTAACAAGTTGTTGTCTTCTCTGCCGTGTGTTATCTCCAACCGTATTCATCCATTCACTTCCTTTCATCAAACCAAAAATCAAAGGCGAGGGTGGGATCCGTGGATTCTAAAGCTTCTAGTTAATTAGTATTCATAAATGCTAGGTTTAGAGAATTGTGTGTTGATTGTGGTGATTGAGAAAATGATATTAAGTGATTGTTATGTGTTTAGATGATAAAATGTTAAGTTGATATCATGTGTTGGTGGAGAGTATATGTTATATTTTGTGAAGTCGGATTGAGAGCGAGGACATGATGATCATGATGATCCCCGTTTAAGTCTGTATTTTGGTGAAGTCGGACTAAGAGCGAGAACATGGTGATCTCGTTTAAGTCTGTACTTCAGTGCAGTCGAACTAAGAATGAGGACATGACGATTCCATTAAAGCCCGTTAACCGGCTGACGAGCCAAAGGGTGGTGGAAGACCTTTTGAGGTGCCCGACCAGCCCAGTGTCATGCTAATTTATATTAAATTAATGGTTGCGGAAGACCTTTCGAAATGTCCGACCAGCCAAGTTGTGATGTGAATTGTGTTGAGTCGTGTTGTGATTAGTATAATATTGATTAGCTGTTATTGGAAGTCCGTGTTGATTGCTGTTTGTTCTAGAGTTAGTATTTGCGTGTATTGTTAGATAATGGCGCTGAGAATCATGTGGGCGGAAATGACCTTCTTCATTGAGTGACTTTGTTACTCACCCCCTCCTTTTCTCCTTGCAAGTGTGTTTCTTGTGGAAAAAGTTAGGGTGCGAGACCTAGAAAACAAAACTGACGGAAATGGGTGTTACATTTTGTCTTTGGCTCTCATCCATCCAATGCAGGAATTTCATGTAAGCAGACCAATTCCTGGGACGAGAGTCGTTCTCGTCGAAGTCTGGCTCTGCCATTTCGAAGCATTTTAGAGCAGATTCATAGCCTTTAATCTTACCAAGGAGATCCACATAGAGTGCGAGCTGGGAGGGAGAAAATTTCATCTTCTTTTTATCCATCCACTCAAAGACTTTTATCTCACGAACGAAACCATCACAACTGATAAAGAATAGAGTTCAGTAAACAGAACACGAAAACGTAACAGCATTATTACATGCATCTGATAAACTGCCTCGTTAGAAACATAAAATCTGGAGATAACCTACAAATATAAAAAGAAGAGAATTCAGAGAAGAACATATTGATTCACAGCCAGTCTAAGTACTGAACAAGTCTCTATTATCCAAACTATATCCTCGCCAATCAAAAGATTCATGTCAAACTAACATGGGATACAAGTGTATCATTGCGAGGTTTGCTGGCTGATTTAGCAGGTACTTCTTGTTTCAGTTGCTTAATTTCAGAAAAGCATTATACACACATGGAATCGTCAAGCTGTTGCAAAATATTGAGATTTTGATTACCTTAAAAGCACCCGAGACCAAGTTTAAGACATCTGGTTAGCTCCCTTCTTTAGCAAGTCCTAAAGTAACATTTGGAAAGACACATAATTTATAATATATAAAAGTTGATGGCATAGTGCATTGAGTGCATCCACATGAGATTAAAAACTCGATCTGATTGGCCCACATCAGCATATTCTTTAAATAAAAAATGTTAAGTATGATTAAAACATTAAAACACTAATTTCTAATTTTTTAAAACATTAATTTTGTTTTACATATAAAAAATTAAAATAAAAGATTATGTAACAAATAGAAAAGAAAATAATGTTATAAAAACACAAAATATAGTATCTTTCAAAATTAAATGAAAATTTAATATCAAAAGAGTTAAACTAACAAAAAAACCAGTGACATAAAAGCTAAAATTTATAATATAGATTAGGAAAATTTCTTAAGAAACTCAATTTGATTGGTCCACATCAGTGTTTTTATTAAATTAAAAAAATATTAAGTATGATTAAAACATTAAAACATTAATTTCTAATTTTTAAAATATTAATTTCGTTTTATATATAAAAAATTAAAATAAAAAGCTTAAGTAACAATCTATTACTAATAAAAGTTGATGCTAAATGCCTATAAGGGTGTCCACATAGGATTTAAAGATTTAATTCTATTGGTACATATCATCATTATTTTTAGTTAATTATATATTTTACATTAAAATTAATTTAATTCATTTTAATTGTTATAAGGAAAATTTCTAAATTTTAATTAATTTTGTTTTTGTTGTTATTAGGAAAGTTTCTAAATTTTAAGTTAGCAATTAATAAAAAAGAGTTTTGAAAATAGATCTTATTTTTCTATTAACATATAAATAGATTATGAAAGAAAAATCATATATATTGAACAAAATAATTAAAAACTGTATTTAAAACCATAATTAAATTATTTTAAAATTTTAATCATGACAAACAATTAAAATCTGAACTGCTAACTTAAAATATATTAGTTGTGGTCCGTGTTGATATCTTAGGCAGGCCATTGAGAGCGTCTACATAGAACATATATAATCAATCTGATTGGTCTATATCCGCGTTTTTCATTGATTAAACATAAAAAAATAAAAATATGCAAAGATATAAAATTATCACACTAGAATGCAAAATTAAGTTAAAATTTTTTTAACTAAATAAAATAAATTTATGTCAAAAATCCAAATCTATAATGTTTGTCAAAATAAAATAGAAACTCATTGTCACAAAAACTAAACTAACAAAAACAAATATGTAAATCAACAATGAAAAAGTTAAATTAAAAGAAAGAAAAAATTTAGCATATATATTTTAAATGAGTAATTTATTTAGAAAAATATTAAGATTAAATTTTTATATAAACTTATAAAATTGTTATTTAAAAATATCAATACTACCAAAAAAAATATTCATGTTAAATTATCAAAAGAAAAAGTCATCTAAAACGTGATATTTAAAGTAATTATTTAGAAAATTAACACAAAAAGTTTAACGAATCAAAAATGATATTTTATGTTAATTACTGAAGAAAGCAATGTGAAAAAATGTTTAACTAACAAAAAAATAAAACATAAATTATTTCTTGCAACATGTCAATACAATTAAAATAAAAGTCCATATCGAGAAAGTTAAATTAACAAAAAAAGGATTTTAACTTGATATTTAGGTTATTTATTTAAAAAATCAATATAAACATAATAAGTAAGAGAATAAAAAAGCTTAAGTAATACTAAAAAACTTAACTAACAAAAAATAATATAAATATTTAAGCTAATTATTTAAAAAATCAATATTAAAAAATTAATTAACTAAAAAACTAAAATGAAAATTAAGTTTACATAATGTTAATTTTTTTAAAAAACACTTAAAAATATATTGACTTGATATCTGACTAACTACTTAAAAAAATATATAAAAACATTTAACTTACAAAAATAAAAAATGAAATTATGTCTTCAAAATATCAATATTTTCAAAACAATTGTGTGTTAAAATAAAATAAAAATCAATATCAAAAGAGGTAAATTACCAAAGGAAAAAGTCGTATAAAGTAAAATTAGCTTGATATTTAAGCTAACTACCAAAAAAACATTAACTAAAAAAATCAAATGATGGTATAAGCTTTTAAGAGAAGTTTACTTAAAATTTAGAATAACCAGTTATAGCATGTCAAAATATCATTTTAATAAATTTTAAAAGTAAATTTAACAAATAAAAAACATTTATGTACAAGATATAAGATTAATATATATGCTACATATTTAGAAAATCAATAAGAAAAGATATTAATTAAAAAAAATTATATGTTTTAAGTATATCAAACATTTAATAAATAAGATAATTAAAATAAAATACAAAATTACCATCGAAGATATTTTACATAACAAAAACAAGATCTAAGAAGAAAATTAGTTTGAAATTTAGTTCCAAAAAATTCATGGTTTATAAAATATTGGTATTGATTATGAATAACCATATAAAGTTATAGTAGGTTATACAAGTTTCAAAATCAAACATATTATTTAAATTTACAAAAATTAATACCTTAGATGCGTCTGGTTTAAAAACTAACTAAGTAAAATTCTACACAAGTAACTTTACATTCAAAATATAACAATAAAGTCTGATTTGTATACATATTTGCTAGCTTATAACTTAGCCAACATGAACAACACATGAACAACATCTTCTAAAATTTAATTTTAATAATAAAATATGAAAAAGTTATGAATCAAATTCAAATAGGAATATATGTAGATAAACTATTCAAATCAAAATATGAATACAATACATACAAGATAAAAAAACATTGAAATGTGAAGTCTCCACACTATCTTACATGTTTAAAAATAAAAATTAGCAAATAGTTGACTGCAAATAAAACAGATCTTATAAACTGAATAAAGATATAACCTAAAATTCATTGAAGATCTGGTGGAGAAGCAAAAAACAGTTTTACACGATTAGATTACGTAGCTTACTAACAAAAGTAAATCTGAATCAACATATATCATATATTATATATGTATAGGTACATAACATCAATGAGACATTTAGTAAAAAACTAAATATTTAAACATATAAACCTTTAAAAAAAAGAACTATAGAAATTCTAAGGACACAAAACAAAACACCAAAAATTTAGTAAAGAAATCATTTTCTAAATCAAAAGTATGCACATCAAAGTTGGATAATTCGTTCGGTGTCATTACTATGATTTTGCTTAATAAGATTTATTATTTTATAAATAAAAAATAGGAAAAACTACATATTATATTTTATTTTTATTATATATAGAAGAAAATTTTTATAAATATATTATAGTTTTGATAATTTAAAAGATATTAGCCAAAAAATAAGTAAATTATAAATACAGACTCGCGCGTAGCGCGAGTTAAAAACCTAGTCTATACTATATAAAAGTTGATGGCATAGTGCATTGAGGACATCCACATAGGACGAAGAAACTCGATATGATTGGTCCACATCAGCATATTCATTAAATAAAAAATGTTAAGTATGATTAAAATATTAAAACATTAATTTCTAATATTTTTAAAAATTAATTTCGTTTTATATATGAAAAAATTAAAATAAAAAGATTAAGTAATAAATAGAAAATAAAATAATGTTAAAAAACAAAATATAGTATCTTTCAAAATTAAATGGAAATTAATATCAAAAAGTTAAACTAACAAAAAAACCAATAAGGTAAAAGCTAGAACTTAAAATATAAATTAGGAAT